CAAAGTCTTAAGCCGCTTCAGAACTGAAAAATTTAGCGGGGAAATTTTTCAATGCAAATATGGAATTCTTTTCAAATTTTAAGTAGTCTCTATGTTAAACTAAGAATAATCAAGTTTACTTACACCATGGTCGCATGCGAGTTCCCTAATGGCACGACGCTCGATTTGCGCAATACTTCCAAAATAGTGGCTTCAGTTATCGGTAAATATGGGAGGTCATCGAAGGTAGGTAATCGTTTACGACCTACAACTGCATCCAATTCAGCTTGCACAGATTTAGCTACTTCTGGATAGTGCAGCATGTAAATCATCAACAATGTAATGTGGTTTTCGTTGTTTCCATGCCAGCAGTGTATAAGTCAACAATGATTTGACGGATCTGCGAGTTGTGGTCTTTACCTTGAAATAGATTTTCACTTGTGCCACTGAGTTCGGCTCGTCTGATCTCCATCAAGTAACAATCGAGTACATCTCTCGTTTTGGTCTCAGAGAAGGTACGTCTGTGCTCGTCGATGATCTTCTGGAAAAAGTCGTGTGTCTGCTTTTTGTTCTCGTCGATCTTCGTGATTTCCTTGCGGAAGTGTGGGAAATAGCGCAAAAATGGGAAGTAATTTAGGAAGACGATGCCACCGAATAATTGGAATCCCTCTTCAATTTTCACCATCAGTCGACGGAAAATCGGGTCGTTGAAGCTAAATCGCACACTCATGAGCAGGGAGCAAATGACATTGCTAACAGAGATGACAAAACTGTGGTTCAAGTCTATGGCACGTCCTTTTGACTTTTCAAGCTGTTCAAGAGGTAGGCCACTTCACCCTGAGAAAAAAGAAGACATACTCGTGAAAAGGTTGAAATCACTTTCAAGTTCAATCTATACATATATGTATTATAATGAATTGTTTTACTTTTTGGCATAGAATATTTTTCTAATTCTAACAATAATTTGATGAAGATAGTATTGAATACTAACGACCCCTCTCTCCCCACTGATAGTTGAATGAATATCCAAATAGATGAAAACAAAGGATACAAAGGGGGATATATTCTTTGTTCTTCGTTTAAACAAGTAAAGTATTGGTATTTTTTTTATATCGCAGTTCGATTATCAGTGCAGTTTTCAAGGGTTATCAATATGGTTTTATTACAGAACGAATTTTTTCACTTCAGCCTGGGTGTTGACTATCTAACAGACCAGATTCGTACTGTAAAATGCAGACACACACCTCAGAAATTTAAGCATATATTCTTTCAAGAGCTTAATCGAAAGTAGCTCTTACCCATCATTTGTAATTTGCAATCTTTTGCTCATCGATTTGGAGAGAGCATGTTTGGGAATTCTTAGAACTTGATTTCAAATGCTACAATAAACTTTTTTTTTACGTAGAGCAGGAATTTAATTCCTGTTCGAATTTTGTATCATTCGCGTATGAAGTCCTGCATTAATGATGATTTCTGGAGCTTTTGCCAATATCTAGACCCCTCTCGCCATTGATTTGAAACCTGAACTGTCAGTAGATTTCATAAACATAGCAGGTAATATCATGAATTTTCCTTGTTCTCACGAAGAATATCATTTTTCAATCAAATACAATCATTCAAGTAAATAATAATATTTTACATTACTATTATTGCTTCGCTATCACGTTTTTTTGTTTTTCAATCTCAGTAAGTCATTCACGCGGGAATTAGATAACGTGTTTGACTCGATAAACCAAACAGGTCAGTCAAAAGCGAGACTGCTCCATATAAGATAATTTAACAACGCTTTTGAAATAATGCCTAGGTTAATGTACCAACTTATCGCCAGTTTATCGCAAATTTTATATTGGTAATGAGGTCAAAATGTTGTGAATGGGGCAGAAAATTTTAAGGAAGCATGCAAAAAATTGTAAAATATACATAAAAACTACACACACCTGATTTGATAATAATTTGTACGAACAAAATTAACACGTATCTAAAAACGTGATATTTTTTTCAAGTTTAAAGGTACCTAATGCTTTTTTATCCACAGGTACTACCTCATATGTATTACTGTGACGT